AAGAAAAAGAATAGCTGACATTTATGGTTTTAAGTGCAATCTTTAGAGTGCCATGACGTTTATGTTCCCCCTTATGGTGAATGTTGATGATCATCAGGGCAAACTTTCGGTTCCTCCTGTACTTTGATTTATGATCACATACTGGCAAAACTCATGGCATTCCCAACCTCAGCTATAGACCTACTCTGTGTTTAGTGCTAATTAGCAAATGTTAGCATGATAACACGCTATTACTTATTGATCAGTACTACAGGACATAGACCCTTTGACTTTACTTTTTTGCTACATGGTCACTGCTGATTGTTGTATTTCCACTGTATCTCCTTGTGCTTACTATCTTTGTAGTGTTTGTTTTATTTCATTTAGTTTCGTGGCCAATGTAGTTTCTCTAAGAATAGAAGGGTGAGGTGAGGGCTTTGTATTATGCAACTGCACCTCAGATGCCACTAAACCCTACAAACTGGTCCTTTAAATGGTTCATACGAGGTACCATGGTGGGCCTAATAGCCTGCTGTGTTTATGTCCTTTACCATGTGTGTGTAGATTGTGATGTCAATGCTGGAACGATCTACTGTATCATTCTGAATCGGCTGTAGTATGTAGTGCTCTGACTGTTGCTGGTTTGAGTCCCAGGTGAAGAATTAGCTAAAATTTCAGTCCAAACCTAAATGGCAATGAAACTTTTGAGGTTTCTAAAAGTAGAACTTTGTACTGTGGAGCCAGCCTTGTGGTATCTAATTCTCATTCTGCTGCACAGTTCCAAACATGGACACAATTCAATAAATAACGCTACTGGGTGACCAGTGTGGTAGCTGCTAAAAGCAGACCACACAGACGATGAACCCGCTGATGAATTGCAGGTACTTACTGTGACATGCTGCGGATTCTCAAGTCACAGGCGGTCTGAGTCTGTGCCACCCTCTTAGCGCATCTGTGTGCATGCCCTGTGTGATATTTTTGGTTGTGTGACTCACCCTCAACACTAGCAGCAGAACTGGCTGCTCTGGCTTGGCTGTTAATTACATAAATAGTCCTGCCTCAACCACAAGTTTGTGCAGCATAATGACGGATCAGGACCCTTCTATGGTAGAAAACAATATGTTGTGTATAAAGACGTACTAGAACAGTGTGTCTTCATTCACTTTAATTCCATGTGATTAGTCAACTCATTGATTCAGTCAGTATAATGTTTTTGAATGTAAAATATCTTTATTCGACCTTCTCAAAATGTGTTTCAATAACAGAAATTGTCATCATGGTGAGTTGTAATACTATTCACAAATAGGAATTAATTAGACATAATTTTCAAATCAAAATCAGCATGTCAGCATAATTCATGAAAAGCAACAAGCCTCTTTCAGACTCGGCCCACTTGTCCACGATCAAGCAACTTTATAAATAGACTTTTATACATTTTTGGGTGTTGAGATTTCAACAAAGCAGTCATCCATTAGTGAGTCAAGGTTAAATCTGAGATGTTAAGTCTGATGTGACAGAACAACAATCATCATACATCATACCAAAATACATAGAAAGTAAACCATAACAGAAAGGAAAGATTCTGTAGTTAACACATAAAACAAAGATCTCATCAGAAGTACTTGACAAATATCAGTATATCATTCTTTTGTTATACAAAACAAAAACTGATTATTTCTTTTTTTTTCATGTCAACACATGATAGTCGATGGTATTTTGGCAACATCTGCATTTCAGGAGTTAACAGAAAGTCAACTATTAACATAACATAAGTCACTGGACATTATTCATTTGCCCCGGCCCATCCCACCCCCAAAATGATGTCTTTATACATGATATTGCATGATAAAAACTATGATGAACTCATTGACATATCAATGACATTTACATAGTCAACAAACATTTTGTCTGCTGCTAGAGATTGGAAATGACTTCTCATCGTCTCTGTGTCCTTTTTTATTAGCTTTTCATTCTTTTTTTTACGACTTTATATGAATCTGCAATACAAGATTGAGGTGAATTCAGCTTTGGAGTCCAATCACAAACTGAAAATAAAGGGAAATCAACTATGTTTTTACGTCTACATATCAAAATGTTTCCCCGAATCAATTTAAATAATTGGGGAAAAAAATATTGTTCTTTATTGTAGTTTCAATTGCTCGACTTGAAACTGAATTGACCTCAAATCTGCAGTAAAACCCATCCACAGCTTCAGAGCTTAGTCAGAGTATGTAGTCTTTAGTAGAAAAAACTACAGTGTCACTACTTGTTTTGCTGGTTCTGCACCACGTCTGAATTAAATCAAGAGTTCTTAGAGGCACCTGGAGTGGTACAAATATGTGCTCATCAGGGTTAAGGTATTGTCAGTTCCTTGTTAAGGTATTTTTCAGTTCATCGTCAAGTCCTCAGGAACAGAGTACCCGGAGAGGAGGCCAGACCAATGATCACACAGGTAATGATGCTCAGAAGCCTGATGTGACCACCACTTAGGCCTCTTTTTTTTTCTTTGTTGTTTTTTCTTTTTGTAGATTTGTCGTAAAATATGTCCTGGGCCCATGAAAGTATTCCCAAATGAGAGATGCACACTATAGGAGATGTCTAAATCACAATATACACTATATGAGACATTACTGCCATTTATACCTTTAGATATTAAAAAAATCACCATGCTCATGTCTCAGCAAGTGCACAGATGTTCTCAAATGGTCATGTACATATCAAAAGCAAAAACAAATTTCTTGCAATACCAAATGGATGAGGTCTGTAGATACCGGCCCAATTTTTCAAATGCTTGCACAGTTACTTTAAGGTTAAAGTGAAAGAAACTTTTCTTGAATCAGGGCCCAGCGCTTCTACCGTAAAAGATGGTTGATGTAAGCCAAGGTCTGTGCAGAGCCTGCATGGATAAGCATCATTAGATTCAGCATTAGTGCTGTTTTCATATTGTCTTAAAGGCCCAGCTTGGAAAAAGAGAGTAGCACTATTCTACCCAAATGTGTCAAACTTTACCGACAAGGGATACTGTGGAGTAATGTGTCATTTAGGCGGTGACCACATCACAAGAGCATCGACTAAAAATCCTGCGTGCATGTCCGGCTTGTTTTTTTTTTTTTTGTTTGCTGATCATTTCCATAATGAGCCTTAATACAGTACTGTGTACACAGCTTCCTGAGAGTTAGCTAGCTACCATTCTGAAAAACACACTGCACATCTAGCTATCTGCTCATTATATGTGTATACTGTAGGGATGCACCAATAACCAACCAAAGGTACATGTACCCTACTACTGAGCTCATATAATCTCATATCAACCCATGTATGACATTTAGAAAATGTTACAATTCCGATGTTATACTAGCTGTATTTGCTTTGTAAAAGTAATGGTGTCATCTGATATTTTAAGATGAATACTTGAATGTCTTAATAGTGCATCCCTAACACAGTATAAAATGGATTACAGTTAAATATAATGCAGTATAATCAGTCCCTCACTGTATTTTCATTGTAATGTTGCCTGTAAACTCACAGAACGCACATCACCTTGTTGTGGTTGAATTGCTCCATGAAATGGATTCAATTACTTCTCAGGGTTTACAGTATGATCGTGCCTTCCCCCCAAATGGGCAAACACATGCCAATTGCTCATATGAAACCATTAACTGTGTGCTTTTTTTTGTTTTCTCCACACAACTAATTTTATTTCCGTGATGACTCAACCCATGTTTGGTGCCTTAGGAAGTTCTGTTACTGCCTGGAAGTGCTGCTCTGAGAGGGATAAGAGCCCCACGGTGGTGAAACCGCAGCTTGTCACATGTTAGAATCATACTTAGAGCAATGACACTGATATCATGACAACCAAGTGTCATTAATGCAAACTATCATGTGGCTATAGCCTAAAGAGGCCATAACTGTGCTCATGGGTACAATGGTGAGTCACCGACCTCATACTGGCAGCGCCATCAACCCCAGTAATGAATGCCCTTGCAAGTAATTTCATATTTATGCAGCAAGTACCAATTTTTTTTCAAAGTAGCACATGTTCGTATGTTTACAAAAACAAGTTGTCAAAGCAATCTATCAGGTGTGTTAAGCCAATCACCTCTAGGTTGTCCTATTTATAACATCCTGTATGTTGCTGGTGTAGCAGTGATCACTGTTGTAAATGTGTCAGCAATAACTAGCATCATAGGTGTTTTGGTAACAACCAATGACTTAGCGGCATTGTCTCGAGTGCTACATCAAGGTACATTGTTGTTGGAGCAACAATAATCTGGGCGGTACTGGTGGCATGTCACAATAACAATGCTACATAAATAATAATTTTTGACATTTGAGCCTACAATCAGGATAGTAGCTACCACCGAGGACATTGAGGTCATGCATCTGCATTTCTTGAGGGAAATTGTTTTTTAAGCAACCTTACACTCTGCAATTCAGCAAATTACTGTAACACATAGTGACCATTGTATAGGCTGGTTCCAGTATTGTCAGACTCAATGGGCCTCATGCAAGAATCATTCATACAGAATTCATTCTATTTAGTACGAAAAAGTCATATGCCGTGCCAATATGCCGCTGCATGTGAGCATAGTAACTCTTACTGCAGTTAACATTGCGTGTTCATTAATTGCAAACAAATACATTCAGTTCACTGAAAACATGAGCACGTTCAAAAAATGCAGTCTTTTAGCATCTCAGTTCATATCAAACCATTCCTCCTATCTCTTTCACAGTATAGCGCAGGCAGCCTTATGTAGCATTTTGGGGGCTCGAACTATGCTATTGATCACAAACACACCTCCCTATGAACAGGTGACACCCATCAGGGTTTTTTCCAACAAGTTAGCTGAATCCAACATGGATCACTCACATGACAAACCTCACAGAAAAAAAGCTTTATTTAAACGTTCTGCAATCGGGCAACAATATCAGATCTGTCAGTTGGCTTACCTTTTACGCTACTATCCTATGGGGGGGGGGGGACTGACCTCAGTAGAATCCTGTCTTCGGCCCTGCCCACAATGACATTAGAACTGATGTCTAACATGGTATCAAGGATTAAATGGTAGAATACCAAGTCACATTATATTCTGCTGACTAATAGTTATTTTACAGAGGCATCATTTTAACGTGATTTAGTATTTTTTAGGGGCTTTTGTTGCTTTTTGGGATTATTTGCTGTGATTTTGTCCCACTAATGATTACTATTACTACTACAAGCAGTGTTGCGTATTCAAAGAGGCATATAAGTGACATCACCTTAAGACAATGCAGCACTTGGGGCTTCCCTCTGAGAGAAGGCCGACTCATATAGCCATATTCACATCAGTCTTAAGACATCTGTAGAGTAAACTGATCACTGTATGCTGGAACCATAAGCTGGAGTAAACTGCACACTGGAGAAAGAGTATCACAAAGGAGGGAACTTGGACAAAAAAACAAGACTTCTAAGTCTGACTTGGACAGCTGCAATTCAGTTCAGCAATTTAAATTTTGACAGTATACTGAAGGGTGAAATACTAGAATAAGGGGCTTGTTTTGAGGCCATGTTGATGCAGGGGAAGCGTCTTTTTTCTGTCAAAAAATTGTGATCATACACAATCACTTTGATTCATGGTCCTCTGCTTTCCCTTGGAATATCCAGCTAAGATATCCATGTTATTCCTGTCTGTCTAATCCCACCAAATCAGTAGTGAGGAGTCATATGAACACGATGGATTTGCACATACTCTGATGCTCTTCCGGCACGAGGAACACTGAAACCAAGGGTAGAAATACTATACTCGAATGCATTAGAGTCTGATGAGGTTTTGTTGTCGGCTGTTTTTGTAAGCAGTGATGTTATTTACATTGTTAAGTATGTACAGTAGAGAATCTCCCAGAGATGTTAGGTTCTGTAAAGCTGCAATGGGGTACTCCTTTAAATTCCTCACGTTTGAAAGTCCTTAGATGAAGAGCCATATGAGTCCCTGTTGAAGAGTTTTGAAGGGTGTAATGATGTACTTGCTGCTGTATTGCGAGTCTTAACTCTATCACTGTACGAGGAGTATCAATAAATTGCCTTCTGAAGCTATGAATGTACACAACACGCAAATTCAAAGTCATTAAATAGCAAGATTTTAAATAAATCATCGTAAAATCATAGATGGACATTATGGTTCTTCATCTCAAGGGTTGAATTTCTCACACAAGTCAAGACTCTAAATACAGTAAATCTTTTTTTTTTCATCATAATGGTATTCATTAAGAAAGTTGAGTGTTAAATGCACTGTACAACCTTGTATTTTCTTTTTTCAAAATATAGTTTATCCCAGTGTGTTTTGTTGTTTTTTTTATTTTACAGAATCCTGTACACTTGGTGTCTGCATTGAGATTGGGTGATATCCTGATCGTTGGAGAGAGGAGAAGAAGAGGGTAGAGGGGGAGAATAGAGGAGAGGGAGAGAAATAGAGGGGTGAGAGAAGAGAAGAGAAGTTGTCCAGTGCCATTGTTGCCCTCAGTGAAGACGCTGCACTCCATACCTCGGCTCTCTTCTGTCCCGCACCTCAATCTGAAGGAAAACAAGACAGTGCTGATTTAGACTCAAGTCACAGAAATGAAACATCATGAATGGACATTTAAGAGGTGAGGTTTAAAGGATAAATCCACCAATTTTATGCATAAACATCGGTTTACTTGTCATGTTTAAGGTTGTCTTTGGCTCTGGAGGAGCTCTGTCAAGTCTAAGAAAAGACCCCTAGTGATGTCATAGTGATGTCATATGGGTCATCTCGGTATGGAGAGTAGATTCTTTAACGGACAAGAAAGGCCTAACAAAGCTGCTCTTGAGTTGCATTATGGGAAGTATAGAATCTGGTGTGTTTGGATCTTGACCCATTTTTTTCACCGTATTTTTTACTGTACATTTTAATAACATTTCAACACATCATTTACATTAGGGTTGCAACTAATGATTATTTTCATTATAAATGAATCTGTTGATCATTTTCTCGATTTATGGATTAGTTGTTTTATCCATGAAATGTGGAAAAAAATTGTGAAAATAGAGTTCCCCAAAGCCCAAGGTGATGTACTCAAAAGTCTTGTTTTCTCCACAACCAAATTCATTTAATTGTTAATCGACTAATTGTTGCAGCTCAAATTTACATAAATAACATTTTTATATTGCATTTTAAAAAGTAAGAAATGGCAACATACGCCATTAAATATGCAGTTAAACCACCGCTAGGACTCATAGAAACACAGGGGATGTTAGCCTTCCCACACAATCTGCAACGACGACTACAAAATGCAATAATGTCAAGTCAGAGAGGTAAGTGAAAAACAGAATGAATGTAAAATGTCATCTTTGTGGGTGTTTTTTTTGTCCCTGAAAACCTACAAGTGTAAGCTATTTTTTCTTTTAAACCCAATGAAAGAAATGTATTCAACCAATTAGTGTACTTAATGTTTAGTCAATGTAAATTTTATATCTGCACAGTAAAACAACTTACTATGTTATTTCACTTAAAATATGGGTAGTGGGTGGGTTTCGGGGCCTGCGTAGGATGCCATGAAAAGAATAAATAACAGTTATTACTGTAACTCAGCAATAAATGGCCATACAATCTGTTGTTGAATCGGGTGATGAATGCTTGCAGGAAAGCTAATCAGCTAATATGTCTGGGCACTGTACTATGCTCAAAAACTAATGAGGCTTTACATAGGCACATGTTAATGTATTCCTCAAACACAATGCACATGAAAAGTATGAAGCAAAAGTCAACTTACCCTTGACACAGCAAAATCTGCAAGGACAACAAAGAAAAGTGTTGGCATACACAGAAAAAGTGCATATTTTTGCAAAACATGAATCTGCTTATGCATTTAAGCATTTACTGTAGGTCCATAGAATAGAGTCCACATTTTTAATTCATTTCACTTGTGTCTCGTTGTCAATTACTTTATATTTATACTTCAAATGTTCTCGTACTGTAAAAATGATAATCTTTTTACCGAATATGTTCATATAAACGTGCTGATATTTTTCTTGTTATTGACCTCATGTAGCTTTATCACTTAAATGGGCAAAAGATGCTTTCATGGACTGTCCATAGGCTGTCACACAGTTTTGTTTCATCAGTTGATTTAAAGAAGATAAAGAAGTTTATTTCTATGAAAAAAATGTGAGCAAAAAAAGAACTTCACACAGCTGGTGAAGCATCAGATGCATTAAATGTGTAAAATCCCTGAGACTGTCAGTGAGGTTAATCAGATAAGAACAGAAAGACACGCCCACGCTCTGGAATATCTCCAGTTACCATGGAAACCATCATGGAGATAGACCGTCGGAGAACCTAGACATCTTATGTCACTTTTCTCTCTTTTTCTCTCTCTTTTTATCTCTCAGTCTCTTCCTCTCACTCCTCCTCTCTCCTTTACTCTATCTGTCTGTACAACTCACACTCTCAGTCCACTATGTCTTATGTCAGAGATCTGTTTTTCTTTCTGCCTCTCTTTAGCCCTTGCTCTATTTTGTTTTGTCTTCTTGAACATTTGGTTTGTGGAGTCAAATCAGACACACAATCCTTATGTAAGGATACGTTTTATTCTTTTGCATTACATCTTTTACTCTTGCCGCTTCACTGCCATCTTCTGCCATCCCTTTCCTCCTCTTCCTCTCTTTTCATACAACTGAAACAATGCAATTCAAGTGTCCTGATGCAATATCATGCAAACTGTCAGAAAGCCTCTGGAGGACTCTCTCCTGCTCTTAAAATACAGCACCGAAAGCAATTTGGCTGGAGTTACTGAGGTCAGGTTGGAGTGTAGTCATTTTTCAACCGGGCAAATTGTGTTCATGTTAATGGCCTCACAGTTAAGGTCTAGAAAATAAGAGCTGGAGGAAGACAAAGCTTCACAGGAGGTTGCAAGGCCTTCTGGATTTTAAGGGGCGTAAGAAAACTTACAGTATAAAAGGCCTATATCATAGAATTTCATCTAATTCTGCAAGAAAAACAAAATGAAATTGTTTTCTTCTGTAGAATGAATGATTAATAAGAAATAAAAAACACACAATACAGACAAAGAACTAAATAAAAAGTTCCCAAAACCATCAGAAAACTCACCTGTGTAACTGTAAATAATCTGCTTAAAATTCGTCCAAACTGCTCCCTTTTTTTGGGTTTATTTTAAAGTTTATTAATTGTTCTATACTGTTTATGTCAATGAAATTTGTTGCTTAGTCAGTGGTTGTCAGTTTACTCAGTTATGGAAAGGTTGGGAACCACTGCATCACATTAGCATAGCCGGCTAGCTTACTGCCTATACAAGAAACCTAAACTCTTAAAGCCAAGTAGCATATCATTAGCTAACTATATTATTACAGTGTTTGAGGTTAGGTTACATGAAGCCCCGTTCAGTAGTGGCAGTTAAGAGTAATGTTAGCGGCTCTTTGTTGGATTTGAAGTGCATTAAGTGCAAAATTTAAAACCCTTTTACAGGGCTCTTGATTTAAAATGAAAACATTAAAATCACATTTGCCACCGACAGCCGTCATTTCAGTCGACAAAATTAATAGTGTTGGTTAAAAATAAGAAACTTTCTTTGTTTACTTCTGTTGCCCCATTTTTTTCAAAAAAGGACTAAACATTTTGCATGATAAATCTGCCAATGTTATTTCAAACTGCATTACTATGCAACAATGGAAAGCTTGACAGCTGTAGCAACAGTGTTAACAAAGTGAATGGCACAAACTGGATCATTTTCAATGTCTTGTAAATGGAAAAAAGTTTGGACGGATTAGCTTAACCGTTATATTGATAATTTATTATTTGTTTTTGTTTGAATCTGTACTTTAATAAGTCTTCTTGCGGTCCAACTAAATGATTCTAAAAATAGCCATACATAGCAGTTTATTAATGGAACAAGAAGAAAGCAGATCAAACCTCCAACAAACATAAACCTCCAAAAACAAAGGATAATCAAAACCATCATATATGGGCCATCTCTACTTTTAAAGTATTGTGTTTAATTTCTTCTTTACTTACCCTTATTGTCTGTCTGCAAATCATCAAGATAGAAGTCTGTCTGCCGGTTACCCAGGACAAAGGCCAAGAATGAGAGGATGAGGGCGTCCAGGATGCCCATGATGGCCAGCATATAGGCCCAGCGTACAGAGCAATCGCCCAGGGAGTATTTCCCCGTCTGCTCCCCGCACATGTCCCGGATCACCTCCGCGTCCCATCCGTCGGGGAAGATCATGCAACCCAGCACCAGGCACACTCCTGCAGGAGGGAAGCAAGATTAAAGTGAGAATTTAATCTTGAAGAGACAAGTGAGAGGTTCTAAACAACAGAAGGAAGAGATGAGAGGTTGCGGTGTGCAAAAAATGGAGGTAAGAGAAGGTTTCTGTTGCTGGATTTTCATGAACTAACAGCAATACAGTTTAACTTGCATGTAGTACAGTATACTGATGGCCTTAAACTGCAGATGCCATTGGTATTTAGAATCAGAATTTCAACTTTTAAATGGCAACAGTAATCTCCACAGAAAAAGTGAATGTTTACAAAGTTGGTTGGTGTGCTTCATACCAAAGGATACCAAATGCAGCAGATAGACTTAAGATCTCATACTGAGTCCAGCTTTTTCTTCATGTACTTTGATAGTTGGTGTAGTTATTTTGTATTTATATTTTTTCATATAAGTGAGATCTTGCACTAGAACACACCATGTTTTAGGCTGCATAGCACTGGTCAACTGAAACCACTGTTTTTAGTGTTTGTAGCCCTTCTAAAGTACAGTGGGTCAGATAGAAACTCTTCTTTTCACATCCTTCACACCAGTAGACCCTATTTTACAACAGCCATTCTGACATCAAATAGCAAGGTAAAGGTGTTACCTATGACACTAATTAAGGTTCCATTCCATATAGGTCACACAGGGTGAAAAGGCTCTGCTACACTAAATGGAACGGAAAGTCAAATTTTCATTAACCTAGGAGTCCACATAGCTATTTTGGCATCTCAAAGGGCAACGCATTTCAAACATAGTTGCCATATCTTGAATTCTGATGATGTTAGAACCCTTGAAATTTGGCACATCAACCAAGCACTGTATATTTAGCAGGACATATGGAAATTTCTATATGTATATACTTTGCGAGACTGTCGGGGCCCCAAAACCACCCATTTTGCATTTGACACCCAACAACCCACTGTTTTGCGATTGATGCTAGTAAGATCATCATAAGTTTGCCTGGAAACTCTTCCTGCAGCTTTAAACGCTGCTCAAGTGAGTTTAGCCAAATGCCAACAGCTCTATGGGTGTAGAGGGGTTAACAGTGCGACAGCAGAAGGGTGGAATACATGCACCGTATACATTATTCACCTGGAGACAATTGAGTGTGTGACAGAATTTAAAACAAACGGATCACAAACCTGCATGCACTCACACCCACAAACAATAGTGAGTGCATGCAGTGCACATAATAGATACACACAGTACAAAGCCCTAAAAGGAAATGCATACATTCAATTTCAACACTACAACAAAAATGGTAATCTATACTTTACACCTCTGCTCATTCATCAAAGTGAGCATCGCTGGGGAGCTGATTGTGCCATATTTCTTGTTCACCAGCACTGTTTAAATAGCAGTCAGTCTGTGCCTCGGGGGCTGTAAGTAAAGCAGTGGGCTCCACAGGGAGATGGGGAACATACATGGCAGACGTCACACTGGATCTTCATTCCAGACCAGACATGTCTTTTCCATGGGCAACATGACTTGTGATACACATGAAAAGTCTGACAGATATGCCTGAGTTGGTGATTATTACACTCCTGTCCAATAAATTTTTAAAAGATTCAATGTCTGGAACTCGATTGCTGTGCAATTGTGAATATTTAAAGTGCTGTGTGTGCCATGTGTGTCTGTTGAACGGTGTTGGGCAGCATTCAAACACAGTAGCTGCTGTGTGAAATGAGGCGTACAGTAACACGAGCGATGATGGGCGGAAATGTAAAACAGAGGATAATAGCATTGGCTTTCAGCAAATTCTGCTGATGCTGAATGTATGAAGCTTAATCTTTCCTACTGGCATCAAGGCCTCAAAGGTCAACAACTAGTTTAGACACACTACTGATAGATACATCCCTCCTGAGTCTTCTATTGATGGCCGTCTTTTAGAAAAAGATTTCCATTAGCTGATGCAGTCATTAAAGTCCAAGTGAAATAAGACAGTTCTTCAGAGATGGAGAATTAGTTTTACCCAAATAAACTATATGAATAATCAAGCGATATTATTTGCAAAGAATTTCTCTATGGAGACAAAAACATTGGGGCTTTTGTTGTTGTTTTTGGGGGATTTTGTGACTTTATTGGACAGCTTAAAAATAGACAGAAAAGAATATAACAGGGGATGTTTATGGTATGTGTCATAACCATTGGGCCACTGAACAACCCAATCTTTTAACTTTTTCTCACAGAGGAGGTCTATATGCTGCGGCAGAAAATAAACATGCAATTTATTTTAGCTGGAATGTGCTTGGGTGACGGTGATGGATCTGAGTGTATTAAAGTGAAGTCCATTAGTCACACGTTGAACCCTGTCACATTAGTGATTCCCTCTGAGGACCCTGTGTTTCACCTACTAGCCATCCATCATGAGAAAATGGTGGGTGGTGAACTCATGGCAACAGATGAGGGAGGATATCAGATTAGTCACCACCTCTCTGTGTAAAGCAGAACACCATGCAAATATGAGGAGTCTTATTTCAAGCTGAGGCGCACACCGCTAGAAAATGTGACCGCTCCTCTGACAAAATGATTGCCGGCGTAATGAGAGAATGTAATGAGAAAGAATATAATGACGATAATACAGTAAGTAATGAGAGAATAGAAGAGCAATGGAAGTAATCATCATGGGAAATCATCATGTTATTAGCTTCTTTTATGACCTTTATAAAAGATATTAACATAGATGAGAGATGATAAAATCATTAACTGGGTAATGAGTGTCAGATAACATGTTTTATGGATTTTTGATGAATGTTTCCCCATCTGACATGAAACTAAGTCCAAAGTTATTGAGTGTCAGCTTTTGGAAATGTGGATGCAGGGCCATTGGCTTGGTTGTAAATCATTGCACTCACCAAAGTCATTTCTGAGATCTCAGAACAGGAAGACATTTCTAAAAATAGATCCAATGGGACAACAAGCACGAGCAGTCACACACGTAGTTTTGGAAGGGAAAACGAAGGCGCGCGAAGAAAATCAGTCTATTGTAAACATTAATCACAGTGTACAACCTGTCTTTATGTTCGGTTTTCCTTTTAAAGGAACAGTTCACCACAACATCAAACCTATTTTTTTTGCTTTTACCTCTAGTGCTATAGTTTTGGCATGAGATGCAGAGAAATCCGCCATAGAGATGTCTGCCTTCTCTCCAATATAATGGAACCAGATGGCACTCGGCTTGTGGTGCACAAAGCGCCAGAAAACAAATTTTGAAAAACTCAATAGCGATGTCTCTTTCCAGATATCATGACCCACTCACTCAAGATAATCCACAGACTTTTTTGTGAGCAGTTTCATGTAGGAACTATTCATTTCTTTAAACTGAATGTTAGCTATCTCAGTGGCGCTACACGAGCCAGCTAGCTTTACAGCTCAGCCGAGGCAGACACTATTAGCGGAGGCGGCACTACAGTTAAGAGAAAAAAATATGGGGTGAACTGTCTCTTTAAGGGCTATGACATGCTTTTTCCATTCATCCTCATGTTGGTTTGCTTAAAGATTTTTTTCTCATCTCCGTTCAAACACACTTCTTGACACGTCACCATTCAAATGCGCTGCAGTATAGATGCCAGTCAGCGAACGCATCAGCATTAATGTCTCTAAAATCTACTCATTCAGTATAGTTGGTTCAGTTTGGTATTAAAGATACATTCATACATGTACTGAATACCTCCAGCCAGCTCCTATGCAAGCCCTATGATTACCCATAACACCCTTCTCTGTTTATATGACTTGAACCATAATTTTCAGCCTTATAACAGTTATATTTCTGAGATTAAAAACAGAGGGATTCAACAATATATAAATTCCTGAAGGAATATGTAGCATATTGTTCAAAAACCCTTTCTTTGTCTGCTGCAGTATGACAGTAATTGTAGTAACTGTGTGACATGATCTCTTTGTGCCCTCTTCCTCTATCTGCCCTTCTCTTCCATCTTCAACTTGAGCATTTAAGTGGGCATCAGCGGGCTAAAAATAACCCCCAACTTCCCACAACCCAAGAAAAGCCCTTTGAAGTGGTTGGGGTGTTTCCTCTTCCTTCCTCCCCTCTGCTCTCTCAAGACACTGCATTCTGAACTTGGAGGGGAGGAACTTCAAAGGTGGCAAGCAAAGGGATCGAACAGAGAAGGAAAGGGGATGGGAGGGAGCAGAGATGGATGAAGAATGAAAGGGGAAAAACAAGTCGTATGAAGAAGGGGAAAGGGAACAGGATGGCTGTTCCACTAAATTGCCATTTTTTTCTCATCTCAGCTCATCACTTCCTGTCATTTCTTTTCATTGCAGCGTTCACAGCCGATCAGCTGTTAGAAACAAGCAGATCAGACTTAATGAAAACATCATGTTTGTGATCCAACTAGTTAAAATGACTGGGAACCAATTTATTTATAGCGCCCAAAACATATTTATAGTTTTCTTACATAACAATTGTCAGACTTTCTTATCTACATGTCTACACAGACCCTATTCCAGACAAACAGTCAAAATGTATTATATAAGAGCTCTAAAAATACCATCAGTGTGCTATATATACGTGTGTGTGTGAAGTATTTTTGATGGGAGCAGCTTCAGGCTCCTCCTCAGCAGCTTGACTCTGTGTTTGCTGTGTACACAGCCGTGACGCCATCCAACACTGTGTCATGTGCTCTGACTGAGTTACTTTATGACAGCAAACTGTGCTGGAGATTTTCTAATAAGTGCACATACAAAGTAATACATATGAACACACACTAACACATAAACACTCCAATTTCTCTCAAATGCAGATTGATGCATCCACACACAGTAGATCTGAATGACCTTGAATCTCCAATCAAGATAAACAAACGTCCATATTAGTGTCCAGTGCTGCTGCTGCATAGCAACCCCTTCTCACTCCCAACTTGTCAAATACTGCTGCTTGTCCAGTGCCCCTTTGCTTCAAAATATGACACTGAATGTGCCTCTTAGCACCATTTCTGTCATTTATAGACATGGCTGCCAGAAATTGTAT